AAAAAAAAAAGGTCAACTTTGGGAAGCTCATTCAGGGTTCCTGAGGAAGTCTGGGGTCTCCTGGAGGGATGCCAAGGTAGGAGGCAATGGAGGCCAAACCAAGGCACCGCAGCAGGGCTGGCTGGCATCATGGGCGTGTGACCTACACAGTCACATAGGATCCCACGCTCCCAGGGGTCCACGCTTATTTTAATGTTCTGCTGTGGCTGTCCTGAAATTCTCAATACGTTTCCAACAAGAGGTTATGCCATTTTCATTTTGCACAGGGTCCCACAAATTATGTAGCTGGCCCTACCTTGCAGGGATACTTCGTTTGCCCCTACGTCTACACTACCAGGTGAGGCAGTGAAGGTTACTTGTCTTTAAAATGAAGAAACGGAGGCTCTGAGAAGGTAAACCGGCCCACGGCATAGCTGGTCAGTGACAGGGCAGCAGCATACCCAGGTCTTGGGGTTTCAACTTGGGGGCCTCCACTGTGGGAAAGTGGCCACCTCTGCCTCTCAGAAAGCAGTGCTCAGGCTCGTCCGGGCCTGGGCTGCAGGAACTGCCTTCCACCCCCACCCAAGACTGAGCTGACCCCTGCCAGCCGGAACTGGGTATGGTCAGAGCCAACGCCCACGGATCTGGGTCCACAAGGCCAGTTCCACAACAGCAACGGGCCAGCGATTAATGAAACAATTCACCAGGAGCAAAGCAAACACAAATAATCTTTGCAGTCCCAGGATCCCTCCTCTCCCAACCCCCAAAACCAATTTAGAGCCAATTCAAGGAAGGAAGGGGGAGAAAATTCTCCACCAATAGCTCAAAATCTGCCTAGTAAAGGAAGAGTTGACATATCAAAGTACACCATGTCTTTGGCTTCCTTGACAGACTCTGAGAGGCATTTCCAAGGATGAGTTTGGCCCAGGTGCTGTTCCAGGCACTGGAGTTACAACAGAGAATAAAACAGATAAAAATCTTTGCCCTAAGGAGCTCATATTTTAATGGCAGGGAGAAAGAGAATAAGCATAATAATTAAGTGAATTATACAGCGTTAGGACATATAGGTGCTTACATGAAATAACACAAATGATGAAAATAGCGGCCAAAATTTATTGGGTGCTTACTCTGTGTCTAAATGCTTTACACACATTGACTCATTTAATCCTCTCAACAACGGATATTGTTCTCATGCCCATTTCACAGACAGAATACACAGGAGGTAAGTTGTGCAAGGTCCCACATGCAATAAGAAAACAAGAGTACTGATAAGAAAGGGCAGGAGACTGCCATTCCCCCCAGCCTCTTCCTGATTCTGGTTGGTTTTAAGGCACCACAACAGGCAGGAAGCCTGGATTTCTTCCAGGCCTTGAACTGGGAGAGGGGGTCCAATCACAGGGCCCCTTTCTACTCCCCCACAGTTCTTAAGAGATCTAACAGGGCTGTGGGACCCTCCAAGCACTCCCTTTTCTCCCAGAGCTAAGGCTTTGGAGCTAACAGCCCAGAGTGCAAATCCCAACTCCACCAGCTCACCAGTATATGGCCCTGGGCAAACAGCTTCTACCTGGCAGCCTCCCTTTCCTTTGATTTAAAATGAAGATGAAAACTCCCTCTCACAGGTGACAAGGGAACAGACATCAAGTCTGGACCTTGCAGTGCCTATACAGGGGTAGATGCCCCAAGCATGCTGGTTCATACATGCCCCCACTCCTGGGCCCCACGATGCCCTCCTCTCTTCTCTCCAGTGCTGAAAGGGCACGGCCACATGTCACCCAGCTCTGTACTGTGGGCCACGTGGCAGAGGGCTGAGCACGATAAACATCTGATGAACACTGAAGAGGAAGAAGGTATGTGGGGTGGTGGAACCTTCCTTAGAAACTGAGCCCTGGAGTTAATGGATCTTAAAAAGTGCGGGTTGCTAGGCAGAAATGTCTTGTCCTCCAAAGTGCAAATGCAAAGTGGTGAAATCTATTCTCAACATTCTGTGGTAAGCCCAAGCCATCAAGAAAACTTATTACAACACCTCATTTAGCTGGGGTCCCCGTGGCACCAGGGCACTCCAAATCTCCAACTCAAGGGGCACCAGGTCAGAAGCTGTTAGTGACCTGGGACCCTGGCCCACCCTTCAGGCTAGTTCTCATGAGGTCCAAGGCAAGACCCTCAACCTGGAGCCTCAACTTCCTTCTTTTAAGATAAGGGGCTAGGTACAGAGTGACAGGATTAAGTGACCAAAAGCAGTGATTTATCCAACAAAGTCAAAATCACCTGAACCTACTAAAATCACATGGGGACGGGGGAGGGTGTGTGTGTGAAGGGGGGGGAAGGTCAGGAATCTTTATTATCAAAGGACTGACCCTGAATTCCATCAGAGGGACTTTCTTTGTTTGAAACCGCCCTGAGTCTGCAAGCATTTGTCTGAGACCCTAGTGCGAACCTCTAGGCTTCATGGAAGGGGCAGGAAGCTGGCAGATGTTTTCTAGATGGCATCGGTGCCCAGGACAGGCTAGAGTACCACAACAGCCAATGCATAAGGGTCACCGCCAGGCTTTTCCTTCTGGGAAGGCTGTCACTTTACCCTGATTTCACTCACACCTGTAGGGAGGGAAAGGGCAGGTGAGGAGGGAAAGGGCAGGTGAGGAGGGAAAGTTCCCTCCTGTGAGGCATTAGAATCCCTATTTGTGGATGAAGAAATGACCTCATGGAGAAGATCCTCATCTACTAACATCCTCCTTCTGGGCTCTAAACCCTACAGCAGGCTCTGACTTAAGCGCTTTCTCATGCATTCAGTCCTCGCAGGTGAGGACCTTATTTTAGCCCCAGTCTGCAGGTGGTAAATTTTAGAGATACTGAGAGGGTTCAGACACTTGCCCAAGTTATCCCACCACAGAGCCAAGGGGAGGTCTGAATCCAGAGCCTTTGCCCCTAACTTCTAGAATATACGGAGCTGCTCAGTGGAGGGAGCAGAGCCAGGATTCTAATCCAGCTCTTCTCCTACACTGAAGTCCTGCCATTTTCCTGGCCAAACCCCCCAAAGTGTGTCTGCCTCAGGCCAGGGCATTCCCTGGGGCTCCATACCTCAAGGGAAAGCCTGGTTGGAGACCTCTTCCGAGGCAGGCTTCCAGAAGGCCTAACCCAGCACAACGTGGACCATGAGGCAGCTGGACCCTACAAAGAACCCATTGTAGTGACTGCAGAAAGCCCAGGCCAGACCAGGCTGGGCCCTCTGGGGAGCCCTGCCCATGACTCCTGGCCTCCTCCCCTTCCCATGGTGCCCCCATACCCAGAGAACAGGACCCGGACTGGCAGAGGCCTCCTGTGTTGCCCAGGCTGGGGCAGCCTCAGACTATGGAAACCTAAAACCCTCCAGCTGCTGCCAGACGGTATGGGGCTGCAGACCCCTGTGGACTCACTGGAGGTGCCCAGGACGCACCTGTCAGCAGGGGTAGGGGCCACGAAAAGACTCCACCGACGGACGGCAGGAGGGGGAGGGCTCGTTTGTTCCCATCGGGGGGTAGGGAGTTAATCTGTTTCCCAGAATGGGGGTGGAGATGCGCGTTTGAGTGGTGTGGGGCCAGGCTGAGGAGGGGGCTCGGCGGAGGGGAGGGATGGGCGGCCCGGAGGTGGATGGCTTTGCCAGCCGCTGCACCGGGGGGCCCTCCGCGGTTCCGGCCGGCTTTGTGTGCTGCAGGGGTCCCGCCCCAGGTCCCCGAGGGCCTGCCGAGGCATGCACAGGGCTGGGGACCGCTTCTGCGTGCCGGCAAGAGGGGTCCGCGTCGTGCCCGGGCACCCCCTGTGTCCGCGGTCGCCACACTCACCTCCTGAAGTCAAAGGGCATCGTGCCGCCGCTGCCGGGGGTGGGAGCGCTGCAGGCCAGGTGGGCCGCGGCGCCGCGTGGGTCCCAGCCCGCTGCCAACGCCTCCTCCGGCCGCCCCGCCCCCGCGGGCCGCCCACCGCCCCAGACACCCGCCGCTCGCCTCCCGCCGCCGGGAAGTGACGCTCCGCGCAGCCCATTGGGCGCTGTCCGCCGCCCCCCGCCGCCCCTTCCGCCGCCCGGTTAAAGGGGCCCGCGGGCGCGTAGGGGGAGGGGCCGACCTTTTGGGGCCGGGGCAGGGAACCCACAGGGACGCATTTCTTCCTTCGAAGCCCCCACTGTGTTTTCCTTCACTTTCTCTCTGTGGCCTCGGGCAAACCTCAGCCTCTCAGAGCCCTGTTGCATTTGTAAAACGGTTTCCTTGAGTTGTAAGGATTAAATTGAATGAATGATCCAGATTTGGGTCGCGCACAGCGTCTAGCTCTGTGACAGGAGATAAGGCAATCCTAGATTTATAAAGTGAACCCACCATCTATTTCCCTGCTGTGCCTCTCTGGGAAAGATACTTGGCATCTCTGAGCCCCCACCCTTTCCACGTATGCACAAAGAGACTGATGGCATTTAGGGGCATTTTCCTGGGGGTCAGATAAGAAAGTTGGGAGACTGGCTTAGTGCAGTGCCTGGCACATGATATGGGCTCAATCACCCGAAGTGACTGTGGTGGACCAGATAGCTGCCTCTGTCTGCACCTTCTGTTTATGGTTCATTCCAACGGTATTCATTGAGAGCCGGCTGTGAGCCAGGTCCATACAGGACATGCTGGTTGTCTCAGGCAGAGCGAGGCCTGCCCAAGTCTGTGACCTGGCCCAGGGCAGACCTCTCTGAGCCTCAATTTCATCCTGCAAAATTCACACGTAATCAGCACCTCCTTCCAGGATTGGTGGATTAGAAGAGTTGATAGTTGAGGTAACACAAGACTGGTGTAAAGGAAACTAATTCCGAACTTCCCCTGGGGTTCTATTGCTGGCCCCACCTCCAAGGTTTCAGTCATAGGGCTTGAAAAATCCCAGGGGAGGAAGGTGGGGGCTCGTGTTCTAAAAGCAGGACCAGAGGGCAGTTTCCTCATCTATAAAAAGAGGTAAATCATGGTACCTGGTTCCTCTGGGAGGATTCAGAATGCACTGTGACAGCACTATGGGTGGGGGGTGAACCAAAATCTTCCCCTGGAGCATACACTATGGCCTGACCAGTTACCTCTTCCTCCCTCTGACCTCCAGCATTACCTTTCTTCCTTCCTTCCTTCCTTTTTCTTTCTTTCTTTCTTTCTTTCTTTCTTTCTTTCTTTCTTTCTCTCTTTCTTCCTTTCTTTCTCTCTTTTCTTTCTTTCTTTTTCTTCCTTTCTTTCTTTCTTTCTTTCTTCCTTCCTTTCTTTCTTTCTCTCTCTTCTTTCTTTCTTTCTTTCTTTCTTTCTTTCTTTCTTTCTTTCTTTCTTTCCTTCTACAAGTGGCCTGGCACCTTGAAGTGAGAGAAGGACATCAGCCTGAACTGGAAGTCTGGAGTAACAAGAAAGGTGAAGGGGCCTTGAGTGGCCTGCCACGGGGCCCAGACCACTGTTTGTGGGGCCTCAGCCCCAACCTATTGAATCAGGTTGCATTTAAAAGCATGATCTCCAAGAGATTTGTTGGCACATTTAAGTTTCAGAGGCACTGCTATAAAGACCTTGCTCCCTGCAAGCAGACTGGGGTGAGGTTTACATTGGCTATTCCTTTTGCCTGGAGCACTTTCTTCTTTGTCTTCCACCCTGTTTATAGGGGCAATGTCTCCCAATGTCTGTTCTCCCTTTCTTCAGGACTGTTAGCCATGTGGACAGAGCCCAGACTCTGGAGCCACACCTCATGGGTTCATGTTCCAGCATGTCCACTTACTGAGTTATTTTACATCTGTCTCTCAGTTTCCCCATCCATAAAATGGGGACAATAGTAGTAACTTCTTCACAGATTTGTTAGGAGGGTAAAATGAGCTGATACAATTTTTTTTTTAATTAAAAAAAGAAGAAGAAGAAAAGAAAGGGGTGCCTGGGTGGCTCAGTCAGTTGAGCATCTGACTTTGGCTCGGGTCATGGTCTCGCGGTTCGTGAGTTCAAGCCCCACACGAGACTCTGTGTTGACAGCTCAGAGCCTGGAGCCTGCTTCGGATTCTGTGTCTCCCTCTCTCTCTGTCCCTCCCTCACTCGTGCTCTGTCTCTCTGTCTCAAAAATAAATGAACATTAAATAAATAAATAAGCATTAAAAAATTAAAAACATAAAAAAAGGAAATGAGTTGACATATGTCAAGGACTTAGGACAGTGCCTGGTACAGAATAATGCAAGGTGGGGTTGACTATCATTGCTATTTTTGCATGGTGATGGAGCTCCAATTTTTGGCTGGGCACATGGGTTCTCAGAATGAAAGTTGCATTTTTCAGCTCCCCTTGCACCTAGGTGTGGCCTTGTGACTAAGTTCTGACCATTGATATGTAAGGGGAAGCATCTATGGCAGCTTCAGGGATACTTGGTATATATTATCCTCTGTCTCGCTTTTTCCACATAGCTGCCCAGAATGTGGATGCCACCATCATGGACCACGTGAAGAAGGTCATGCAGAACAGAGCAACAGGATAGAAGGAGCCCGAGTCCCTGTCACTGAGTGGCACAGTACCTGTCCTTAAACACCTCCCCGGATGTCTAAGCGAGATATAAACATCTATCTTATATAAGCCACCTTTATTTTGGATTTTCAGCTGCTTACACCTGAACCTAATGCCGATGCACCTGCCTCAGACTAGTTAATTACTTGGCAGCTCAAATATTATATATAGAATCCATCCAGGTTCTTCCCCACTATACATTTGCATGGCACCAGTAGTTTTCCCGGGGAAACCGTGTCACAATTTGTGATTACATTATCGTTAATTGGCCAATGTCAACCTCCCCATCTTGACTGGAAGCTCTCCGGAGAGCACGGATGTCCGTTTGTTCATTCTTGTATCCCAGCATCCAGCCAGAGCCTGCACGCGGTAGGGGTGCAATGCCTCTGTGTCAAAGGCTGGATGGAGGCTTCCCAGGGAAGTAGGCTTTCCCACAGAACAGAGGGGCTGGGGAGGGGAGCACATCCACGAGGATCTCTGTGGAGACTGTTGGGGTCTGTAAGCAGACCAGGCTGCCAGTCCCAGGTGATCCATCCACCCAAAAGACAGTGGGAGATAGGGCTAAGGAAGTCCGACTGTGCTGCAGTATGTGGGAAAGCTCTGGGTCTCTTGGACCAGAGGAGTGACTTAATAAAAACCGAGTTTTAGGATTACTAATCCTGTAGGACTCTATGATAGCCAGCCTCCAATGGTCCTCACTGATGTTCCCATGCCCTTGTGTAATCACCTCTCACAACAAGTAGGACAGACTTGGGTAACCAACAGGACATTGCAGAAATGACAGTGTATGACTCCTGAGACAAAGTCATAAAGGGCATTGAGGCTTCCGCTCAGGGTCTCTTGAATCACTTATTCTGGAGGAATCCAGCGTCTGTGTTGCAAAGGTACTCAGGCACTGTTATAGAGGGGTCCACGCGGCCAGAAACTGAGGCCTTCCATCAACAGCCGTGTGAGTGAGCCATCCCGGAAGTGGATCCTTAGCCCCAGCCAAATCTTCAAAGCTGCAGTTCTGGCCCACAGCTTAACTACAGCCTCATGAGAGACCCTGAATCAGAACCACCCAGCCAAGCTGCCTCTGAATTCCTGGAAGGATGTGAGATAATAAACGTTTCTTTTAAGCCACAAAGTTGTAGGTAATCAGTTCCATGGTGGTACAATTAATATAGACTCTATCCCCATTTGTTTTTCTACCAGCACCTTCTCCCTGCCTTCCTTCGCCTCACCCCAACCGGTCAGTCAGCACTCTGGCTGAGCGACCTGGACACATTGCCTAACTAGCTGGGCGTCTGAGTATGAAATGAAGGCTAATAACACCTCATCTGTGTCAGGAAGCCTCTAAACTCGCCACCCGAATCAATCCACCCCCTGGTATTCATATCCTTGTGCAATCCCCTTTCTTAGACTGTAAACTGGATTTACTGACTCACTTCTAATGAACAGAATGTGGCAGGAGTAATGGCATGTTACTCCTAAGACGAAGTTATAAGGAGATCGCGGCTTCTGTCTTGGGCACTCTTGCTGTCACTCACATCAGCGGCCCGGGGTGAGCCAGCAGCCATGTTGTAAGGCAGCCCTGTGGAGAAGCCTGTGTGAGTTAGGCCGAGTGTGAGAGGGCCAAGCGTGAACCTCCTGAGGCTTGACCAAAACCTTGTGCGTGAGCTCGGGAATGGATTCTGCAGCCTCAGCCAAGCCTTGAGATGACTGCGGCCCTGGTGGACAGCTCGATTGTGACCTCATGAGAGACCTTGACCCGGAGGTATCCAGCCGAGTTCTGCTTGGATCTTGTGAGATAACAAAATGTTTGTTGCTCTAAACCACCAGGTGTGGGGTGGTTTGTTATAAAGCGGAACAAATACATGGTCCTAAAACCTTGCTGTGAAGATGAAGTAACATGTGCCTAGTACACAGTAGGTGCTAGTTAAATGCTTGCTAAATCAATCAATAAACAGACGAGTGTACTATAATGTGGAATGTTCCCTGGATCCAAATGCTCACTGCCTCCACCGCCTCCTGCCGAACACGACACTGAAAGGTGTTTTAAGCAGGGGAATAGCTGGGTCAGATTTCCTTTTCTGTAATGAGAGACTGGTTTGTGTTCCATGGGTGTGGCTGGTTCAGATGTGGTCTGGATAGAGAGAGATTAAGAAATAATAATCTTTTGTCAGCTCAGAGAGGTCTTGAGGGTAACTTAGGCCTCTGGACAAACAGAGTCTCTATTAAAGTCTCCTCACCGGAGGACATTCATTCATTGTAAGTCATTCACTGAATACCTCTTTGTGACAGGACTTTTGGATGAACATGACACATCCCTGCTTTCAAGAAGTTAGGGAGGAGGTGACCAAAAATGTGGTACCACTGTAAAAAACCAGGGTCAGGGGCACTAATTTCTTGTGTGGAGGCATCTTAGTGTGGTAAATCCTGTGGTGTGGGCAGCACCAGAGGTCCTGGGAGGCCGGGAAGGGGCCCCTGAGCTCACCTATACGGATGACTTGGTCTGAATTCTTTCGGTTGAA